AAAAGGAATAGGGTTTTTTCGGGCGTTCAAAAGGGGGGGGGGGGGTGGACTGTGTTATCATGCTTCTTAAAATTACAAAACTGCAAGGCTTGTGTAAATGAAAGCTATATATGAAATCTGTCAGCAGAAACAGTTTCTGATGTGCAGAAAACCCCAATTACATTTTACAGATACTGTACATATATACAGTAAGTATATAGGAATAAATCCAGGCATCCTGTAAGTGCTAAAAGGGGTTAAGGTGTTCAAAAGGACGCCTGCTAGATTGGTGCTGCTTATTAAAGTCTTGCTCCTTCCTGACTTAAATCTTATGCGTTTCAAAATGTTATTACTAATGTGAGCTGTGAATAAACAGCTACGGGGACTCAATTTATGGTCAAGTCAAAGTAATTTTCCACTGTCACCGATAACATGCAATGCTCTCCCTGCAGACCCATTCCCAAAACAGCAACCTGGTACAGGAAGGTTTTTGAAGCAGATTCTTCTAGCTGTTAAAGATTTGCTGAAAAAAGGTTTGGAATATAGGGGGCTCCAGTGAGACAGTTCTAACAAAACATCTTGCTTCTCATACTAACAATTACTTTTAAAACAGCACACAAGGCAAACAGAGCAGATCTGAGGCTAAACAGTTGATTTTAAGTTCATCCTGGAAATTTTTGTGTCTGTTCATGGTCTTTAGATTTTATAACCAATGTTAAATCCACATGTAAGCTTTCTGTGGTCTTAAATTGGAGTTTCCAGTCGAAAACAACTCAATCCTAGATAGTATCCCCTGCTCTCACACCATCCTAAATTGCAAGGCTTGAATAGCCCAACCTTCTCCTCCTCATCCCCCCCCAAAAAAGGAAAAAATTCTTATATATGACCGAGGCTTCTGGTCTGTTTTTCTATGCGAGGGTGACATCACGCAAAATCCTTTAAGATCCGAGGATCCCATACTTTATGAGAATATGGCAGCTGTGTTTTTTTCTCGGGCCTTGCAATTTTGGATTTTTGGATTAGCATTTTTTGCAAGGTCTGCTTTCACTTAACAATTATGCAGCGTAGAGGTCAGATTTCGCTGAAGTTATATTGAAGCAGTGTTTCTTGTACTACTTTACATTTGATATAGATGCATATTCAATCTTTTTATCGTTTTTGATTTACAAGACTCCAGGTTCAGGAGTTGAGTGTTAACATGAATCTGTACATGTGTTAAAGAGAACACTGGTGTTTATTCTTTGCTTGCTTTTTCATGGAAGTAGTTTATTCTAAAAATCTATGTTAGTATAACCAAAATACCAACTGATATACACTTTGCGGCAACTATACGTTGTTCAGAAACGGGCAACTAAACTAATTAAGGGGCTGGAGGACCTAAGCTATAAGACAAGACTACTAAATTTAAACTTGTTCACGCTAGAAGTGAGGAGACTAAGAGGGGACATGATTTTGATGTACAAAATGTTTAGTGGTAATAACAACATCTGCAACAAACTTTTTACTGTAAACTCAGTAACAAGGACTAGAGGCCACCACCTAAAACTGGTGGAGAAAAGATTTAACCACAAGGGGCGTAGGGGCTTTTTTTCCAGTTAGAGCGGTTAAAATCTGGAACTCGCTGCCACAAGCAATGGTATCAGCAAAGAATATTGAATCATTCAAAAAGCATTTGGATACCTTCCTCAGAGACCACAACATACAGGGGTACATGTACTCTTAAAAACTAGACCACACAGGGACACACAAACATGCACAAAGGTTGGACTTGATAGACCTGTGTCTTTATTCAACCTCAAATACTATGTAACATCTGCTGTATTCACTTTGTAAAAAAATAATTCAAAATATATATATTTTTTTTAAAGATAACAGGTTCTTTGCGTTATGTGTTTGATAAGATTTAAAATATGACTTCTGGGATGTAATCCGGTCAAAAAGTTCTTAGTCCACTGCTTTTTTATTCTGTAACAATTAAAAATTTGTCTGTTGGGAGAGCGGCCTTGTCCCTGCACTAATGTAGAACAAAAGTATTTTACTGAAAGAGTAGTTGATGCTTGGAACATACTGTAGATCCAGCAGATAGTGAGTCGGTCAACCGTAAGTGAATTTTAAAACATGCTTGGGATAAACAAAGATCTATACTTAGACAAAAAGATTAAAAAGAAATAAAAATATATTTTAAAAAAAAGGGCAGACTTAATGATCTTTTTCTGCCGTCTCCGATGATGCTATGAAAATGAAAACACAATGGGGGAAATTAAGCAAAACTGGGAGCAAAGGAATCTGGAGCAGTTGCCTATGGCAACCAAGTAGCTTCTCGCTTCAGTTTGTTCAGTTAAGGTTTGAAAATGAAAGGTGGATGCTGATTGGTTGCCATAGACAACTGCTGCAGATTCTGTTTGCTCCAGTTTTGATAAATTCCCCTCATTGAGGGGAATTTATCAAAACCTGTAGCAGACAAAATCTAGAGCATTTGCCCAGGGCAACCAATCAGCTTCTCTCTTCAGTTTGTTCAGTTAAGAGAGAGAAGTTGATTGGTTGCTGTTGGAGTGCAATTTAGATATTACAGTTGCCGTGCACATTTGCTCCAGATTTTGTCTTCTCCAGTTTCGATAAGTTACCCCTCAAATGTATTCCTTTGAATCATTTTAATTAGTTGCTACTCTGACTAATACTCCTCTTTCACTGGTTCTGCCACATATTCCCCAGACAGTCTTGAGAGGGTAAAGAATTGCCTCTTGTTATTAGAAACTGTTTTTCGGTTGTTTGGAACTGCATTGTAAGTAAGTGCGCCCCTGGGTGTTGGAACTCAGGTGATATCTGTTTTGTACTGTTGTACTGTATGACTATATAGAAACTCTAATAAAAACAATAAAAAAAAAAAAAACATGGCCTATCAAATTATAGCTTGACAAACGTGACATATTTTGGAACATATTGTTCCATGCCACTGGTATCAGAAGTGATTTCCTGATCATATGGCAGTATCAACAAGAGAATCTAACGACTTCTGCGTGATCTTCCTGTAAGAAGGACAGATGATGCTTATCTATCAGACAATCTGCTAGGACGTTGTAAATGTTGACATTTCCTTCGGATGCTCGGAGTCTGTTATAAGAATTAATGAATGAGGCATGAAGACTGCAGTTTCTAAGCACACTCTTTTGACAGAAACATGCAGAAATATACAGATCTCCATGAAAGTGTTCTGTTGGAATGAATCTTGAATTCCTGATGCTTCCTGAATGTAAAAAACTGAGAGGTGGCCAGTCTTTCTCCGCAACTCTAAAGGAACTTGTCACCAAGACACATTTTAAGCGTACAAAATACACCTTCCTGACACTGTTTACATCAAGTCTGTCCTGTTTATACTGCAAGATCCGATTGTTATGAATCTGAAAAAAACAGCGTTTCCTTCCTTTTTTAAACTAACAGCCCAAATGCTGCCAGAAGAGCTTGTGATGTGTACCGCACAGTTAGAGGAGGACTTTCTTGAAGCTGCGGAGAAGAGGACACCTGGCTGAGTCTTCACAATCATGTGCAGAACAGAACAGCTGTTAAAAACACAGCAAGAAACTGAAACACTGTCACCTTCAGAGGTGAAATTTAAGGAAAATCAAATGAATACATTATTAGTTTACTGCAGTGAAGTGGGAGTATCTTAAAGCGACACGGTCATGATATTAATTGAGGCCTCCATTACTAAACTCCTTTTTTTTTGAGAATTCTAGTTCCCTGGCTGTCATTTTGATACCTTGACTCCAATGCTGTCAGAGTCATTGACCGGCAAAAGTGCAGAGAATAGAAAGATTAGTTCTCACACTTTTCTGACACTCATTTACAATTCACAATCATGGTTTTGGGACTGTGATTGAAACATATTGAAGCCAGGGATCCAGCAGTTTTAGGAGGAGGTCTGCAGTGGCTGCCCCCATTTTTCACTCATATTTCACCGATACTTGAAAGAGAACCAGCCAGGAATTGGATCTCAAGTTGTCATAAAAGCTGTACCTCTTATGGATAGGTGTGTCTGTAGTTATTCACTTTCCATATGTTCCTGTCAGAGCTGAAATGGCAGTCTAGTGTTTGACTCTCCATGGAGGCCAACCTGGATCCTCCCTGAGTTCAGGGAGGGTAAAATGTTCAGTTAACAAGGCTTTCGTTCGGTTTCATGTATTCTTGACAGCACCATCGTTATAGGACAGTTTTGAGTGTCTGTTAAAGTATTGAACTACTGGACATATGACATTTTTACTCTAGCAAGGTAAAAGAAGAAAAAAAATACCTGAATTTGGTAGTCTTCACCAATGCCCTCAAGCTTTTTCTTGAATTCATATATGGCTGATTTTATATCATGCATTTCAGAACATAAGGCAATGGCATGATCGACCTATGGTAGAAACAACATCATCAATATTTATTTACATATTACACAGTTAATGTGCTCATAGTCACAAAAGCATCATTGCCCAGACCAGCTTATTTTGGCCAGAATGGAGAAGATCCCATGTCTATGGAACCCAGCACACCAGGCAGACTGATTCAGGGAAGGAGGTGCGGCGTTGCTGCTCAATTAGGACCAAGCTCTAATGTTGTTCCTTTGCATGAAGCGGTTATCAATAAGCATACAAGTGGCAAATATTACCCAATACAATAACATGTGCATTTCTTTGTGCGCACAGAAACAAAATGAGCAGATTATGTAAATGCATTACCATAACTGGGTATGCAAAAGTATCAGTTCTATTGCACAATTAAAGCCTAGCTCCAGCCAATTTTTTGTTTTTTGCACAGGGAGGGAATTTTGGAATATCATACAGGTATGTTCCTGTAACAATGACATTAAGTGATAGGACTTCTTTTTGATGGGGACAGAGACACCAAGAAAAGTACATTTATTTAGTAGAGGGGTAAAGGGTTTTTATTGCTCTCAGTGTCTCCCTGTTAGCATATTGTTTTTAGAGATTATCTTACAGCCCCAAATAAGTTTAAATTTAAGTCTATAGTTAGTGTCCTTTCACACGGGCATTCCAATCATGTCTGCCTGTCAGTTTTTCAGGTGGATCAGATCGAAAACCCCGGTTCTAAACAGACATGGGTCCATTTACATAAGAGTACCCCAACACCGATCAGGTCCAGAAAACCAAACGGATCAGAGTTCTGTATTGGCGGGCCTGATTGTGATGGATCGGGGGGTATTCTGATGTAAATGGGCACATGTCCGACTCCCCATAGACCAATATGGGTCCGGTAATTTCAGCTTTTACCTACATTGCAAGATGGAGGAAAAAACTGGACACAACGGTGACATCTGTTCCGAACTGCTCTGATCAGTATGGAATCAGAGTACGGATCCCCTGCTGATCAGAACTAAAGGCGTCTGTGTGATAAGGGCCTTAAGGCACAGAAAAACCTTTATCCAACCATCTTTTGTTTCTTTTTGTAATCAGCGCCAGCAGAAAACCCTGTTGCCCGACATTTGGCTGCAGATAGAGATATCTACTCTGTTTAAAAGCAGTGGTCTCTCTGTAATGGTTCAACATGCTTTCCCGGCTTAATCAGACTTACTCACAGCTCTGCAATCAGTGGGGTGCGTGAGCATTGCTGGCGGCTGCGCAGCACTGCGGTGTTCAAACACTCAAAATATCGTTATGTCGGGGATAGGTGGTTATTAAAATGAAAAGGGTAAAAGTGTCAAAATGCATATACAAAATAGATGTTGGT